GCAAAGGCTTCAGTGAGCTATAATTACACCACTGCATTCCATCAATAATAAATACTGGGCCCGGCATCGTGGTTTACACCTGTAATCCCAGAACTCTGGGAGGAGGAGTTGGGGGAAATCACTTGAGGCCAGGTGTTTGAGACCAGCATGGACAATGTGGCAAACTCCCCTCTACCTGACCCCCACCCCCACCCCCACCATCTCTACTAAAATTACAAAAAATTAGCTGGGCATTTGCCTGTAATCCCAGCTACTCCAGAGGCTGAGGCATGAGAACCGCTCGAATCCAGAGGCAGAGGTTGCAGTGAGCCGAGATCATGCCACTACACTGCAGCCTGGGCAACAGAGTGATATTGTCTCAAATAAATAAATAAAAATTAAACAAACATTTTAGAAAGGGTATAGTCATAAAAAGGAACGAGATCATGTCCTTTGCAGGCACATGGATGGAGCTGGAAGCTGTCATCCTCAGCAAAGTAATTCAGGTACAGAAAACCTAACACAGCATGTTCTCACTTATAAGTGGGATTTGAACTATGAGAACACGTGAATACATGGTGGGTAACAACACTCTGGGGCCTGTGGAGGTCTGGGGGAAGGACATCAGGAAGAACAGCTAATGGATGCTGGGCTTAATACCTAGGTGAGGCATTGATCAGTGCAGCAAACCACCAAAGCACCCATTTACCTATGTAACAAACCTGCACATCCTGCTGCATATGCACCCCGGAACTTAAAAGTTGAAGAAAAATAGACAGGTGCAGTGGCTCACGCCTATAATCCCAGCACTTTGGGAGGCTGAGGCGGGCAGATCACCTGAGGTCAGAAGTTCGAGATCAGCCTGACCAATATGGTAAAACCCCGTCTTTTAAAAATAAAATAAAATAAAAAATAAAAAAGTTTAGGAAAAATAAAATAATTTAAAAAGGTAACTGATTTCCAAGTAACAGATAAGTAACGGATCACATTGTATTAGGTGACTATAACGTACTTTATTTATTGATTTAGTTTTTGAGACAGAGTCTCGTTCTGTCACCCAGGCTGGAATGCAGTGGTGTGATCTTGGCTCACTGCAACCTCCACTTCCTGAGTTCAAGCAATTCTCATGCCTCAGCCTCCCGAGTAGCTGGGATTATAGGCACACACCACCTTGCCTGGTTAATTTTTGTATTTTTCCGTAAAGACGGGGTTTTGCCATGTTGGCAAGGCTGGTCTTGAACTACTGACCTCAGTTCATCTGCCCACCTCAGCCTCCCAAAGGGCTGGGGTTACAGGTGTGAGTCATCCGTGCTCGGCCCGTACTTCATACATACATATATATATATATATATATATATATATATATATATATATATTTTTTTTTTTTTTTAAACTTTTCTTTTGGAGACAAAGTCTCACTCTGTCGCCCAAGCTGGAATGCAGTGGTGCAATACCTGCTCACTGCAACCTCTGCCTCCTGGGTTCAAATCATTCTCCTGCCTCAGCCTCCCTAGTAGCTGGAACTACAGGCGTGCACCACCATGCCTGGCTAATTTTTGTATTTTTAGTAGAGATGGGGTTTTACTACGTTGGCAAAGCTGGTTTCGAACTCCTGACCTCATGATCCACCCATCCTGGCCTCCCGAAGTGCTGGGATTATAGGCATGAGCCATTGCGCCTGGCATACGTACGTGCACGTGTGTGTGCGTTTTTTGAGACAGAGTCTTGTGCATACATATATGTGTGTGTGTGTGTGTGTGTGTGGTTTTTTTTTTTTGAGAGAGTCTTGCTCTGTCACCCAAGCTGGAATGCAGTAGCCATGCTCTCAGCTCACTGCAACCTCCGCCTCCCAGGTTCAAGTGATTCTACTGCCTCAGCCTCCCAAGTAGCTCAGATTACAGGTGTGTGCCACCACACCCAGCTAATTTTTCTATTTTCAGTAAAGACAGGGTTTCACCATGTTGGCCAGGATGGTCTCGATCTCCTGACCTTGTGATCTGCCCGCCTCGGCCTCCCAAAGTGCTGGGATTACAGGCATGAGCCACCGCGCCTGGCCTGTTTTGTTCTGTTTTTACTATTAAAGTCCCTTTCAGGGCAGGGCGGCCGGGCTCCCATCTGTAATCCCAGCACTTTGGGAGGCTGAAGCAAGAGAATCACTTCAGCCTGGCCAACATGGTGAAACGCCATCTCTACTAAAAATACAAAAATTAGGCCAGGTGCAGTGGTTCCCACCTGTATTCCCAGCACTTTGGGAGGCTGAGGCAGGCGAATCACCTGAGGTCAGGAGTTCGAGACCAGCCTAACCAACATGAAGAAACCCCGTCTCTACTAAAAATACAGAATTAGCTGGGCATGGTGGCACATGCCTATAATCCCGGCTATTCAGGAGGCTGAGGCAAAAGAATCTCTTAAACCCAGGAGGCAGAGGTTTGGGTGAGCCGAGACTGCCATGGCACTCCAGCCTGGGCAACAAGAGCGAAAATCCGTCTCAAAAAAAAAAAAAAAAAAAAAACCTCACAAAAGTTAGCCAGGAGTGTGGTGAACACCTGTAATCCCAGCTACTTGGGAGGCTGGGGCAGGAGAATCACTTGATCCCCGGAGGTGGAGGCTGCCGTGAGCTGAGATTGCGACACTGCACTCTAGCCTGGGCAACAAGAGTGAAACTCCCTCTCAAATTAAATAAAAATCGTCGGGCGTGGTGGCTCACGCCTGTAATCCCAGGACTTTAGGGGACTGAGATGGGCGGATCACCTGAGGTCAGGAGTTCAAGACCAGCCTGGCCAACACGCGAAACCCCATCTCTAGTAAAAGTACAAAAATCAGCCGGACATGGTGGCGAACACTTATAATTCCAGCTACTCAGGAGGCTAAGGCAGGAAGGGCGGGAGAATCACTTGAACCCGGGAGGCAGAAGTTGCAGTGAGCCGAGATTGCGCCACTGAACTCCAGCCTGGGCAACAAGAGCAAGACTCCGTCTTAGGGGAAAAAAAAAAGAAAGAAAGAAAAATAAAAATACAAAAACTAGCCGGGTGTGGTGACGCACGCCTGTAGTCCCAGCTACTCGGGAGGCAGAGGCACAAGAAGCACTTGAACCCGGAGGCGGAGGTGGCAGTGAGCGGAGATCGCACCGCAGCACTACAGCCTGGGTGAAAGAGTGAGACTGTCTCAAAAAAATAAATAAATAGGCCGGGCGCGGTGGCTCAAGCCTGTAATCCCAGCACTTTGGGAGGCCGAGGCGGGCGGATCATGAGGTCAAGAGATCAAGACCATCCTGACCAACATGGTGAAACCCCGTCTCTACTAAAAATACAAAAATTAGCTGGGCGTGGTGGCGCATGCCTGTAGTCCCAGTTACTCAGGAGGCTGAGGCAGAATTGCCTGAACCCGGGAGGCGGAGGTTGCAGTGAGCCGAGATTATGCCACTGCACTCCAGCCTGGCGCCTGGTGACAGAGTGAGACTCTGTCTCAAAAATAAATAAGTAAATAAATAAATAAATAAAAATAAAATAAAGTCCCTTTAGCTCTTAAGGCCTAGGGACCCCTTTACAGGGTACCTGTTACCCTGATGCTCAGGGGAGCCTAGACCACCAACAGGATGGACTTGAATCCGACTTGCAGCCGACTTAGGCCCTGGAAACCACGGTCGTCTCAGCCTGCAGCTCTCCTGGGGTTGCCTCTCCAGCCCTCCCTGCCCTCGGGATCTCCTGCCGGCCCCCCTTACTTACCTGTTCGACCGGCAGCAGCAGCAACGCGCGGCCAGGGCCCACTGGCCGCACCGGGGGGATGGGGAGGAGCCGGGGACAACGCGAGGAGGGTTCGAATTCGAATTCGGGTTCGGAGGCCGGGGTCGGGCTAGGGATCGGGCTGGGGATCGCGGTCTTGGGTCTCCGGGCCGCCGCCACGCGGGACACCTGGCGGACTCCCTCCCTCCAGTCCACGCCGGCAGCCTGGGCTTGCAGTAGTCGCCTCCGTAGGCGCCGCCGACTGCACCAACGCAGGGTCCAGAGCCGGCGGCGGGGTCGGCGGCTGAGGATGAGCTGGGGCCGGGCCTTTCTGGCCCGCAGCCAAGTGGAGAGGCAGGAACCCCGCTTGAACAGCCGCCCCGAGTCCGCCATGCTGGGCGCTCAGCACCTACCGCGCGAGAATCTCGCGAGATCCCATAGCTCCGCCCTGCGGCCCGCCTAGCTGCCGAAAGGAGCAGCCTCGGCGCCGCCAGCGCCCTCTGTCGGCAGCCTCCGGAAGCGCACTGGGAGGCTCCCGCCGGCCTGGTCGCGGGAGGTGGGGGTGGGGCCGGGGGGCTCCGCCACCCCACCGAGGACTCCGTTTACATTATGCAAATTCTCTACCCCAGCCTGCCGGGGAGAGAAAGCCAGAAACCTCGAGACCAGCCAAGGGCCACCTCTCCGGAAATCCACCCGGGATTTTATTTTTTTTCTCCTGCAGAAAAAGCTTTAGGATTGGCAGTTTAAACAAAACCTGTCTATTTGCATACCTTCGGTTTGCATGGATTTGTCTCGAAGTGAGCAACGCTGGGTAACCAGGCGAAAGTATAAGACGGTTGGCTCAGAATCTTAATGTTAGAAAACTGGAGACTGGGGGCAGGAGGGTGTCGACTCAAAGCTGTGTCTCAAAAACTGAGGCCCAGGTAAAAAGTTCTAAAACCTCACAACACCCGGAGAAGTTGTGTCCCAGCCTCCCGCCTCGCCCCAAAATGCCGGGACTTCCTTCCTGAGCCAGGTGAAGTCACTGACACCAGAGCGTGGACAGAACCCACAGCCGTCCAGAGGAAGGATCGCTGGGTGCCTCCTGCTTTGCATCAGTGCCTTGGTCCTGTCCAGTTCCTGAGTGGCACCGCAGGCCCGGAATGCCAAGGCAAACAGCCCTGCTGCAGCCACCGGGCTCCAGCCCCACCCCCTTCGGGGGCATGAAGTTAGAAAGCATTGGCTGCCGCCTTCTATTTAAGCGACTGGCCTCCTTAGGGGACACTGGTTGGCCATGCTGGGCGTGGGCGTGTGGCCAGGATGCTACTCCGCATAGCTCACCTGGCCGGCCTGCAGCTTTTGATTTCCTGCTGCCGGGCCTTTGCCTGCCACAGCATGGAGTCTTCTGACTTCAGCCTTCCCGGGGATTACCTCCTGGGAGGCCTGTTCCCTCTCCATTCTGGCTGTCTGCAGGTCAGGCACAGACCCGAGGTGACCCTGTGTGACAGGTGAGTGAGGGAGTCAGAAGAGCCACACTTGGTGGGTGGGTCCCATGGCAATGGAGCCCCTCTGGCCGCCATCCTCAACTAGGACCTTGTCTCTCTACTTTTGCACCTTGAACTGTCCCCAGCCCTTGCCCATCAATCCACATGCCACCTAAGTGCTGGCTAGACCTTCCTGGACACTTCAGCCAGTTTCCAATTATTTCATTCTCGCTGTTAGAATGGGTTGTATTATAATTCCATTGAAGTCAGTTCCTGGCTTTGTACCATACCTAGATGGCAAGGCCTAAGCAAGGGCAGTCTTTTCCCTCTTCTATTTTCTCTCCACTCCTACCCAGGTTCAAAGCTCCCTAGAGTCCCAGATGACTGTGAGGGGGAGACCCCATAAGTGCCAAGGCAGGAGTCAGGAGCCTCAGCCTATTGCCATATAAATAATGAAGAAGAATATAACTAGAGACATAACTGTGGTATTCATAGATGATCTAAGTTATTCATATGTGACCTTAGTTATTCTAACGTGAACTTATTCGTAGGTGATCTTAGTTCTTTTACTAATGCCTCTCAGGTCGCAAAGTGTGAACCTGGGGTGCCATTGTGAAAGGAATGACCCTAAGGCAAGATGCCTTAAGCCCTCTGTCACGCCCCTGAAAGGGCTGCTGGAGGGCGCCTTGGCTACGCAGCGGGAAAGCACCCGCTGTTTTGCAGGCTTCGGGAGGAGATGTCAGAAATGTCCCCTTCCCAGGAGGAGTTAGGAGAAAAACCCCCTCCTCCAAGCTCTTGCAGTGGGCCTGACGGCTGTCAGGGAGCCCCACAGACATCTGGGGGCTTAATTGTCTCTATGTGATGCAGTGCGTCATCGGTCATGTTCCACTTCTGCACCTGGTTCCTTTTTTCTTAGAAGAGATAATCAGTAAAAGTAATATAAATCTTAATGTCTTTGTTCTTTTCTGACAAGTATGGAAAAGTGCTGACGCATTCTGCTCCTTACCTCATCTGGGCAACTAGAAAGCCTTGGCTGGGCCCCCATCCCTATGTCACGTGGTGTATTTGACCCTATCACTGACCACCAATGCCACGCCCTACCTACCCTGCCCTCAGCTTTATACGAAATAAAAGTCAGAGTGTGGGGACGCTCGGGGCCACTGCAGGACTCCACGCTTTGGTTGGCAGTCCCTGGGCCCAGACTCTCTTTTCTCTATCTCTGTGTCTTGTGTCTTTTATTTCTACAGTTTCTTGTCTCCACACCAGCAGAGGGGGGCTCAAAGGACCCTGTATTGCTGGACCCTACAGATGACAAGTATGGTTCTCCATGGGGTGGGAAGGGAAGACACATCCCAGCAGATGCTTTAGGAGCTTAAAGATAAACTAGATTTAGAATGTGTCATTGCCTTGGTAATAAAAATAAAATAAAATAAAAATAAAAAGATAAACTAGATAAGGGCCAAGTGCGGTGGCGCACGCCTGTAATCCCAGCACTTTCAGAGGCCAGGTCGGGTGGATCATGAGGTCAGGAGATCGAGACCATCCTGGCCAACATGGTGAAACCCTGTCTCTACTAAAAATACAAAATTAGCCGGGCGTGGTGATACATGCCTGTAATCCCAGCTACTCAGGAGGCTGGGGCAGAAGAGTCATTTGAACCTGGGAGGCGAAGGTTGTGGTAAGCCAAGATTGCGCTGTTGCACTTCAGCCTGGGCAACAAGAGGAAAACTCTGTCAAAAAACCAAAAAACAAAAACAAAAAAACTGGATAAAGAGAACGGGCTGGGAAGAGAGGTTGGGTAGGGCAGGAGGAGGGAAGACCTGAAAACTGGCTTCAGATGCCTGAGGAACTGTCTCATACGGGAGGCACGAACCCTCCTTTGAGTGACTCAGGGTACAGAAGTGGTGGAAGCCATGGAAGACCCTTCTAACGAGCAAGAGGCTGGAAAGTGGAACAGGCTAGCACACTTTGTTGTTTGTTTGTTTATAGAGATGAGGTCTTGCTCCTCCCCCCGGCTGGAGTGTAGTGGTGCAATCATAGCTCACTGCAGCCTCACTTGGGCCTCACCCAGCCTCAAGTCATTCTCCTGCCCCAGCCTCCCAAGTACTTGGGACTACAGGCATGCACCACCACTTCTGGCTAATCTTTTTTTTTTTTTGAGACAGAGTTTCACACTGTCACCCAGGCTGTAGTGCAGTGGTACAATCTTGACTCACTGCAATCTCTGCCTCCTGGGTTCAAGCAATTCTGCCTCAGCCTCATGAGTGTAGGGTCCAGCCCTATAGGGTCCTGTGAGCCCCTCTCTACAGGAGTAGAGATGAGAAACCATGGAAACAGAAGACACAAGACACCAAGAAAGAGAAAACACAGTTTGGGCCCAGGGGTCCACTGCCAACCAAAGCGCAGAGTCCGGCAGTGGCCCCAAGTGTCCGCACACTCTGACTTTTGTTGAGTACAAAGCAGGGGGCAGGGTAGGTAGGGCGAGGCATTGGTGGTCAGTGATAGGGTCAAGTACACCACGTGTCATAGGGATGGGGGCCCAGGGCTTTCAAGTCCCTGAGATGAGGTAAGGAGCATAATGCGTCAGCACTTTTCCATACTTGTCAAGAAAGAATAAAGACATTAAGATTTATGTTACTTTCAGCCAGCGTGGTGCCTCACGCCTGTAATCATAACACTTTGGAGTCCAAGGCAGGTGGATCACCTGAGGTTGGGAGTTCAAGACCAGCCTGACCAACATGGTGAAATCCCGTCTTGGAAAAAAAAAAAAGATTTACGTTACTTTTACTGATTATATCTTCTAAGAAAAAGAGGAACCAGGTGCAGAAGTGGTCATGAAAGTGGACATGGAACGTGACTGATGAAGCACAGCATCACATAGAGACAATTAAGCCCCTGGGTGTCTGTGGGGCTCCCTGACAGCCGTCAGGCCCACCGCAAGAGCTTTGGAAAGCAGAGTTTTCTCCTAACTCCTCTGGGGAAGGAGATGTCTCGGCCATTTTAGATGTTTCCTTCCCTAGCTGGCTAAACGGCGGGCACTTTCCCAGCACTGGCGCTGCCGCACAGCCGAGGCGCCCTCCAGCAGCCCTTACACGGGTGTGACAAAGGGCTTAAAGCATCTTGCCTGAGTGTCACTTCTTTCACAGTGTCACCTTAGGTCCACACTTTGCAACCCGAGAAGCATTAGCAACATTAAAAGATTATAATGAGTATATATGTAAGCATCTATAGCTATGATAACCTATGTGATTATATTTCTAATTTCATCATTTATGTGGAAACAGGCTGAGGCTTCAGACCCTTGCCTCAGCACTTGCAGGGTCTCCCACCCACACCAAGTAGCTGGTGCTGCAGGCGTGCACTACCACGTCCAGCTAATTTTTTTGTATTTTTAGTAGAGACAGGGTTTCACCATGTTGGCCAGGATGGTCTCGATCTCTTGACCTTGTGATCCGCCCACCTCGGCCTCCCGAAGTGCTGGGATTACAGGCGTGAGCCA